CTTCTTTCTGAATGCTCACCAGGTTAAATTGTCATACAAGTGAATGTTCAAGGAGATCTGTGGGCAAAATCTGAAGATGCAAGTTTAGCATGCTTTTTATTATGATTACAAAGAGGAAACGGAAATAAGAATGTATTTTTCATCTGGTGGAGTGAATGGCAAATAATCAACCCAAACAGTCATTTCACTGTGATTCTCAAGTATGAAATAACAAGTGGATCAAAATTGGCATCTGGTTCACATGGGCTGTCAATATCACCAACCCTCCCCTCTGCCCACCACACACTTTCCCCCCTTTTGCAATGAATTTGACAGCCACTGTGTGTGTGTGTGTGTGTGTGTGTGTGTGGTGGGGGGAGTGGCCCAGCATGGTCAAGTGGCTTCCATCAAAAGCTTCCATCCCTCTCCAGCTTCTGGGTAATGCTCCCAAAAGCAGTTCTGTTGACCACCTGAATCTGCCTTGCCTCTGAGTTGGAATTCCAGCTCTCCTATTTACTTACTGTGTGACCTTGGACAAGTTACTTAACTTCTCTGAGCTCAGTTTCTTAATTTATAAATTGAGAAAAATAATATCTATATTATGGGATTATTTTGAGGATTTTATGGGTTCGTACACACGGAACACTTAGTAGCTGGCATATAGAAATCACGATATGAGTTCGTTGTTGTTGTTATTATTATTTATTATTCCCGGTATTAACATAAGAAAGAGGAGAAGAAAGAAGGCTCAAGGAAAATGGGCACCTTGCTGAGGTGGCCTTTTTTACCTGAGAGACGGAGATGACAATGGACTCCCCTTGCAGAGAAGTAACATTTGGGGTCAATTTCAGGTTTTCTAGGAGCAGCTGGTGGCAGGCGACCACATGATACCGAAGAACCTGGGGCATGAGGCCCTGTCTGTCCCAGTCTTTAATCTGTAATGGAGAGTCAGAGGGTTCCTGTTGGAGCCAGGAGCCTTCGCCCCCACTTTCCCTGTCGCTGTTCTGTACTCCAGGGGCTCCCCCACATCTCTCTCCCCACCCGGGCCCTGGGAAGTGGGAGTCAGGGTTGGCGTGTGCTCAGGTCAGAGACTGTGCAGGCAAGAGGGAGAAAATGGCCCTGATTCTTGTCCTGCTTCCATTTGGGATCTCAGGGTGGAAGGGAACTCGGGGTTCCTTTGGTCCAGCATTTTACAACACGTGGCAAGGACCCCAAGTCCTGTGAGATGCTACTTAAAGAAGAGTTTTCTTGAGGAAGGTGCTGGGAAACACTGCATCTGTTCCCCGTCTCGGAGAGGTACCCGGGCCAGATTTAAACCTTTAAGATGGAAAGGATCACAATGCTTCTCCATTTGTGAATCAAAATGCAAACAAAATGAGCCATAAAGTAGGTGTAATATAAGCCTACATAGTTCTCACTGTTTTATGATGATAACTCCTCTGATGCTTTAAAAAAAATCTATCAGATGTCAATTTTTTTTTGAAAGTTATTTTTTGTGTCCCTGCGTTGCTGGTGTCTAAAATATATGCACAAAGAGGCCATGTGTGTGGTGGTTAATAACACAGACTCTGGGACATGTTTGAGTCCTTGTACCACCATTGTCTAGTCAGGTGACCTTGGGAAAGTTACTCCTCTCAGTGCCCTGGACTGTAAAATGGGGATAGTAATAGCACTTCATCACAGGGTTGTCATGAGGACTAAATGAATTAATCTACATAAGGCACTGGAAACAGTGTTTGGTACACTCAATAAATGTTTGCTACATTATAATCTATTAATGGGCAACCCAGCATGAAGAGTTCTAGTGAATGTCAGAACATTAAAGGCTCTGATAAGTCCTGCAAAAAAAACCCCCTATTTAAATCTCTTTAATCCAACATTCTTTTTTTTTTTTGGTCCTATGGGAAGTTTGGATCATTTAGGAATTGCTGATTTTTCCCAACCTCCTAATGTATTCAGGAATGTCCTTTAGAGGGTCTCTGGCTAGTGGTTACCCCAAATCCCCTTGAATGCTTCCTCTGATAGGGGTCCCAATGCTGAGAGGCAGCCCCTTCCATTACTAGTCAACTCCAGCTGATCTTAAATCTCCCTCCCACAAATGTATCCATTGTTGGTTGCGGGGTGACACCCAAAGACTGTGTTCTAGTCCCAGGCCTCTTCCATCTGCCTACGCTCCACGCTTACCCGAGGTTCCTCGTCAAAGGCTGTTGACAAAGGTGCAAAAACGGTGAAGGGGCCTGGACCAGCCAGGTCTCGCACAGAGTGCTCCTGTGGAAAGCAAGGTGGGGGCGACGTGCGTAAGGAACATAAATACAGGCAGGGCTCCAAGGGCAGAGGGAGCAGATGAGGGTGCAGAGGGGGGTGGATACTGATGGGGAGATCTGTGCTTCATTCAGTCTCAGATTCAAGTTCATTCAGCTCCCTTGTCAATGAAATAATGCTTATTTTTATCTGGTTATTCAAATAACATATGCTTATTGTATTAAATATTTGAAAATACAGTATAAAGAAGAAAATAGCTACCCATAATCCCCTGCTATTTTCAGGTTTCTTTTCCAATGTCTCTATTTACGTATTTGGGATATAATACAAATGTAGGTCATAGGATGATTTACTGAACAGTTCTAATGTCTTGTTGCCAATACTAACATCCTATGGTTCTATTTTCTTCTAGATTTTATTTTTCTGGGTTTTTATCTTTCATTTTTAATATATCTAGAACTTATTCAGATGTATAATGTGCAGAAAGATCTACCATAATGTGTTCACCCAAAGAGTTAACCAGTTGCCCCAGCAATGCTTCTTTTCTCCACAGTATGATGGCAATTTTTCATATACCTCATTCTGATGTGTAGAACGGGCCAGTGTGACAGTTTTTCACTCTGTCCATCTGAGGCATGAAAAGTTCATAAATGACCAACACAGAGTCCCCTCCAGAAATCTAGGTTTCCAGACTTTCTTCTACCCACACCCACTCCAGAGGCTATAGGCTTATCCTGTATCTGGCCTGAGACTCAGCTCTTACAGCCATACACACACACACACACACACACACACACACACACACTCTTACCAGCAGCTGGAAGAAATACTGGGAAGTTTTGGGGTTCCTGGGAAGCTCCTGGAAACAGAGAGAGGGCAGTTCACTCAGTGTCTGTGAACTATACACAAGAACAACACAGGGTTATTGCAGGGCAGTTTCTCTAAGATCAAGAGCGTCTACCATCCTTTCAGCTGGGACTGTGCTACCATGGGCCCTTTTCCAGCTCCACCTACAGCTGATGTTCGGAATGACTATGTGGACACACTGTTGAGTTCCAAGACTTTTCTGGAGTCTCTACCTGATTCAGCCATTTCCAGAAACATCTGAGCTTTAGGAGTATTTTTTAAAAGTTCAAATATTTTTATTATTATTTTTTCAACAACAGACATTTATTTTCTTCACAGTTCTGGAGGCTGGAAGTCCAAGAGCAAGGTGTCAGTAGGTCTGGCTTCTTCTGAGGCCTCCCTCCTTGGCTTGCAGATCACTGTGGCCTTCTTACTGTGCTCTCACATGGCCTTTCTTCTGTGTGTATGTCCCTGGGGTCTCTTTTTGTGTGTTAAAGCTCAAGTATCTTTAAAAAATGAGTTCTAGATTTATGGCAGATTAAGTTTCTCTATTAACATGAATTTTGGATCAGACGGAATGCTCTAGCCCAGTGGTCGGCAAACTGCGGCTCGGCAAACCACGGCTTGCGAGGCACATGCGGCTCTTTGGCCCCTTCAGTGTGGCTCTTTCACAAAATACTGGCTCTTCCACAAAATACCGACTTCTGCGCATGGGTCACGAAGTTTCAATCGCACTGTACGTGGTATTTTGTGGAAGAGCCACACTCAAGGGGCCAAAGAGCCGCATGTGGCTCGCGATCCGCGATTTGCCGACCACGACTCTAGCCTGTCTATAAATCAAATAACAGATGTTCACATTATAACAGGTAGAAATCTACAAATGTCCTACGCCTCATCTCCACGCCCAGTGCAGCATGCTCATGCCTCTGAGTCACTGTGTTCTCTGTGCCTGTTGCACACATCATCTCATTTAATACTTACAACAACCTGATGCGACCGGTACGATTATTTTCTTTTACACATTGGAAAACGAATGCACGGAGAGGTGATGTAATCTGCCCAAAGTCACATTACCAACCGGCAGAGCTGAATCCAAACCCAGATGCTTCTGACTCTAGAACCGTCCATCTGAATCACTACATTCCAGGTCAAATGAGTTCCCATGGATAGATCACATTTGTTTTCACTGCCAGTTAATGTCAAGACAGTCATTCCCGTGGTTCGAGAGCTCCCCACGTTATACCCTGCATGTCCCTTAGCAACCGGGACCTCGGCGCATTGAGGGAAGCAGAGTTGACTTCACGGAACATGCCTTGCGTTACCTGATGGATGTTGCCGCGGCAGGTGAACCCGTCCCCAATGTAGTTCGGCTTGCAAGTACAGGTCCTCTCTTCTTCTCCCGTGTGGTTGCAGATGGCAAATGCACTACAGCCACCGTTTCTCTGGTAAAATTTCCAAGGGGTGGGGGATCAGAGTCAGATCAGGAAGTCTGCCAGCTGTGCCAATGTTCACAAAGCACTTCTGTATTGAAGTTTATTTGTTGCCTCCTCCCTGACTGGTTTGCAATATCTGCCCCTTTTCTGACCTTGCCTTCCAATCCCCTACAGTTGTAGAGGCTGCCTTCCTCCCCAGCCTTGTATTCCAAAGTGGCAGGTCCATCTGAGCAGGCCTCCAGCTCTATATTGATAAGCCCACAATTGCCCAGTGGGAATTTCTCGGCACCTGGGGCTTAACTAGAAAGGCCCCGATCTTGGTTGACTCCTCCCATCTTTAGGTTAAACTCCGATCCCACCATAGCAAAGGTAGCAGTCACCAGCCAGAAGGAAGTAGGTATAAAATGATGCCAAACATTGTCCTTGTTGGCAAAGAGCTTATAAACTGAGGAGGATGGGGCAGAGACCTAAGATATGGACAAAGCAAAGTGCAGTCCAAAGCTGACATCCATGGGAACGCCAAGAAGGGCTCTGAGAGACTAAGCAGAGTTCCCAAGAGGGGGAAAAATGGAAAGCTCCAGAAAAACAAATCCAGAGAAGGTCACCAGTCTTCAAGGCCAGCTGCAAAATCTCCCCTCCCAATCCCCATTCCAAAAGTATTTGTGGACATGATATTTCTGCCTAGGAGTGACCTACCACCCAGATTCCTGCCTCACGGACACAGCTCAGTGAGCTGCTTAAGAAAACTGACTCTTGACTGTACAGTGTGGCTCAGTGGTTGAGTGTGAACCTATGAACCAGGAGTCATGGTTCGAATCCCTGTCAGGGCACATGCCCAGGTTGCAGGCTCAATCCCCAGTATGGGGTGTGCAGGAGGCAGCCAGTCCATGATTCTCTCTCATCATTGATGTTTCTATGTCTCCCTCTCCCTCTCCCTTCCTCTCTCTGAAATTCTGTGGTTCACCACCTGCCTGAGCCTGAACTCACAGTGACTTCCCAGAGCCCAACTGGTGCCTGGTGTCTAGGGAATGCTCATTGACCAAATGTCCATCGTGCTGAAACCAGAGTTTCCTCAACAAACCTCTGGAACATGAAGGAGAAAAGAGCCTCAAGCCCAAAGCAGCTCAGAGGAGATCACCCCAACACCCATCTCCTAGAAGCGGGGTAGGAGGCACCCCCGCCTAACCTTGGAGGGCCTGGGCCCCAGAGCTAGACTCACATTTAAGCAGGTGTTGATGAGCGTGCAGACCTTCCCATCCCCAGTGTATCTCGGCAAACAGTTGCAGACGGCCTGTACAGGAGGAGAGGGACATGGGCCATTTCTCAGAGGGACTCCGCTGGCTCTCACACTGGGACCCCACAGCGGTAATGGTAATGGGTAATGGTAATGTTAGAAGATTCTATCTTGGTGAGACTTATTCTATAATGATAACTGTCATCGTCCATTTTAGCACCTTTGACACACTTCTCTCTAGCACTGGGGTCGCCTACCCATCTTATCTTTGCTACCAAGAGACATTATTTTTTTTTAAAAACTTTGTTATATTATTTGGTCCCTTGTTCTGGGCACTCAGCTCTTTTCTCTCTCCGGTGGGTAGAGGCTCAGTTGCAAGGAAGCTAAGCTCTCGCCCACTCCCATTCATACTCAGTTCTTGCTCATCTCCCTCCGGGCTCGGCCACCCGGGCACCAGCACTAGGAGGTGCCGGGGGATGGCTCTGCAGTCAAATCAGTTGTACACGGGGAAATAATCAGTCACTCCTACTGTTTGACCAATGAAGTCGGTTGGGCACTTCAAGATGAGGGAGTGGACACTGTCTACGGGAAGTTGGGGACTGTCTAGTTCACCCCTGTGTCCCAAGTGCCTTGCTCAGGAGCTCCTGGGCACATGGGTGAGTGGGGCTGAAACCCAGCTCCATTCTATTTACCAACCTGTGTGTCCACAAGAAGGGGTACCTGCCCCTGGTGGGTCCCCCCAAGGGATGGCTTTTCTAATTCACATGAAAGCCTCCTACACAGGAGAGGTGGCTCTGGTCTGGCGTCTACTTGTTAGAACTTGAACTCATTGGTCGGCCAGCCAGGACCAAAGGGTTGGTTTTCACTGCTCCTCCTCCTCAACTTCATTACAGGCCCTGACATGGGCTCCAACCTTTACCAAGATGCCTACCAGCCAGCCCTCCTGTTTCAGAGATCAACCCTGCATCTAGGTCAGAGGAGGGGTTTTAGAGGCCCAGAGCACCAAAAAGTTATAGGTTTTCCCCATTCCATATATAGAAATAAGAGCTCTATCGAATCCCAAAAGATGTATAAGGTGGACCAATATTGACTGTTCTGGTTTTCCCAGTGACTATACATAGAAACACACA